TCCTTTCTTATATTTTTGTGCAGAGCCATCAACCGAGATCGTCCGCGGGCTTTTTTTAATTTGGGAGGACTTGGCCAGCGACTGTTATTAAAATTTTTAAAACAACCTCATTTACATTTTTATTATAGTTTTAACGCCTTCTTCCTTCAAAATACAGCACAGGTTTTGAAAAGATTATACAGTAATCGTCTATCAAAGATTTACAACCTAAAATGTCTAATATTACTGCCTCATTTATACCTAATAACGTTTTATTGAACCTTAACATCTTCAAAAAAGACAAAGAAAAATTACAAAATGTAAAAAAAAAATCACCTACATAAACGTAGATTTGGGGTGGATATGTAGATTTTCTTAGATGTGGATGTGTAAATCTTTACGTTAGCTACGGTCTATTATAACATAAAAACGTTAAATTTTTATATACAGGGTGTCCACTGAACTGACATAAATACTGAATGAGGTTCAAATTCATTTTTATTTATCCGTTTCTTACCCGAAACGTAATCCCCATCAAATATATTTGTTTTTGTAGCCTGTTTGTGCTTTTTCTAGCTTTCCTTTGTTTTTTCTGAATCATAGAAAAGTTATTATTATTAAGTAGAAATGTGCATTTTTTTGTATTACGAGTCTGCTAAAAACGTCTTTGATTTCTAAGTAGATAAATAATTTAATATTATTTGGCGGTATGATTGAAAATGTAGGCCCTCTTTAAACTTTAAAATTCCCTTCAAAATATATGTAAATTACCTTAATTTCCCATTGTATTTGTAATAATTTGATAAAATGTAAAACAGGATAATAATTAGACCTTCAACAATCTTCAAAATCAAACTGGTAAAAAACTGGTCCTAAAAATATTGTAAAAAATTTAATTAATAATAATAAAGATGAAAGAATATGAAGAATTATTACGTTTTCTATAAGTGGAGTTTTCAATTTTTTGTTAATGAGAAGGTATTGCTATAAACTACAGAAATCTTACGTATGATCTTTTCTGAATAAGGGAAAGTCGAAATATTTTCGAAAGTAACATTATGGTTCTTTAATTTGTATAGTATGTTTTAAAAATCCGTGGCAGCTTCCGTGAGCAAATTCACTGATGATAAATGATCAATTTTCTCAGACCGGCTGGTCAATACAGACATCATTAATGACAAACAGGATAATGGTGAGAAGATAATGAGAGCGTTGGCAAAGGAAAGCGACAGTGACCTTTGATTGAACCTGACCCAGATGGAGGAGGAAACGATTTATGGAACCGGTTCCAGATGCGGGATTATTCATCGTTCTTTTCCGGCAAAGAACCGTGACGGGCAACGAGGAAACGTCCAAATCTCTACAGGTCAACTTTGATTCACTAAAGTTCGATTCGATTCCACAAAAAAAACGGAAGCTTTTCCTCAAAAACATATTACGTCGATTTGAACCGGAGGCGGTTTGTGAAAAGAAAGATTTCCTTTTATCGTGAAATCATAACGCCCAAAATTGAAAATCACGTGTGATGAAGTAGAAGAAGCGAAGAATCAAGGATCACGACTGGGGTGAAAGCGGGGAAACAATTTCTTGTAATCTTATGTCATCGTGACCTTACATTACTAAAGTGAACTTAATTTTTGGGAATTTTTTTTTCATTCGAATTTTATTTGTTAATTGAATTTTAACGCGACTATGCGAGACTTTCTCTCATCGTTTCAACCGTTCGAAACATTAAGGAAGGATCATGAGGCATGACCGCCCAGTATACGTTGACAGCAGTTAGGGCTCTCACTTCACATCCTTCCGCTCAATAGCAAGTAAGAACAATGTAAACGTAAATGATTTTGCGAAAAATACATATTTCCATCCTAAAGGAACAATAAAAGACTTCGCTCCATCATTCATCCGTAGATATTTTTAGAGGGGCTTTTGCCTTTGTTTGACATTTTGCGTCGTGTACTTATCGATCGGCTGGTTAAAAAGTACCGTCTTATTTAGCGTGGTCTTAATTAAGACTAATACTTAAGTTGGTAGGAAAAGAGGTTGATTATTAAAGTAATTTTACATTTATTCTTGATGAAGAAAACAGCAAAACTTTAAGAAAGCCATTTGATCGGTAAAAAAATCCATCCAATAATAAATAAGACAGTATGTAATCAATAAATAATTAGGCATGCATGATTTTCTGCCGATTTTCTCAACGCTTGTTCTAAACAGCTAGGTACCAAACATGCAGGCGTTTTTTTAATAGTTAAACAGAATTGTATAAATTTTTCAAAAGTGTTTTCCTCCTAATCAGACAAAATGATAAAGCAAGGATACTAACTTAAACCCTTTTCGTTTTCAATTCACTTTGAAACTCCTCAATTGGGAAATTTCTTATTTGTGTTCAGGATTTTTAGCTTATGATATGTACACGTCAACGGAGAAACCAGTGAAAATAAACACAATAAAAAGGTACAGGCCCAAAAAAATTAAAAAATAAATAAATTTAATGGGGACTAAAAGTTTCGAACATACAGCAATAATAAATATAATCAGACACATAGAACTAGCGACACCGGAATGTGCTCCCCGAAAACATTTTTTGAACATCCCTTTAAGATTTAACAGGTTATAAAGAAGAAGAAGAAGAAGAAGAAGAAGAAGAAGAAGAAGAAGTAGTGGAAGAAATCAGTAGGAAATCAAATTATATCGTATACATGCTCCAAAAGCAGTGAAGGAAACCCTGAAATATGAGTAATCAAACTCATTAGAGAAATAAACCTCGGCCTTTCAAGCTGAATTCATTCTATCAATGCTTGTGCCACAGAAAATCTTAAAAAGACAATCCTCCTAAGATCAGACAATCAAGGAGTGACCATTAATCTCAAATCTCTACAAAATGAGAAAACATTAACTAGTCATCCTTCTTCTACACAAGCTTCACTTATGTTACAAAACCACATATCAACAATTGAAAAATGGAGCAATCTTTGGAAAATAAAGTTTAACCCCTCAAGTCACAACATATCACCTTTACACTCCGCCGTCCTAGCATACTTATGCAATGAACCTGTTCATCAATTCGACAAAGTTAATTATTTAGGACTTACATTTGATAGAAAAGTAACTTGGAATCCACACACACGATTAAAAAAACAGACACTCAACAATCAATTTAAAATGCTTTATTACCTACTCAACCGACAGTCAAAATTACCATTACATTTCGGCATACACTTACTGAAACCTATTTGGATGTACGGGGTGCCAAGCTTATGGATCGGCCAAATACTCCAATATTCAAAGATTACAAAGTTTTTCAATCCGAAATTTTAAGACTAATTGTTTCTGCCCCTTTTTACGTAAACAATAACACACTATATAGAGTTTTTCACATGCCAACAGTTTTTTCATCTATCAAAACATATTACGTTTTAATAGTAAATTACAAAATCACATTAACACACAAATACGATTACTCGATTCCCCACAGTTACAACGTAATCGACTGAAAAAAAAATATGGATAAAAGACCTCTTGAATGATTAATATCATTTTATTAATCCAGAGCGGCTGCCAATGGGTAACTTTTTCTATAATGATTATTTGGAGATCGTGAGATGCGGTCTGGTGTGAAGTAGGTTTTAGAAAAACATTTTCCTTATCGTGCCAACGTTTCGATCTTTATTGAGGTCATCTTCAGGGCTCAAAGCGTTTGTTTTCTGTGTAGATGTGTCATTCTTGTGTGTCGTGTTGAGAGTGCCAACAGGAGGATGAGGAGGATGTGAGGATTTCAATTACATACGGACACGAATCTAAGAGTATTTTGAAGAACATCGCCAACAATGAGAAGAAACTTTCATCGGAGAACTATTTTGTTGAAATGCAGACAACATAAAAAAAACGGCACTATCAAATGGCGTGTGAGGTAACATCGTCTCCAATCATATAACAGACGCATGTCAGGACTGACAAAATAGCACACGAGGCTATCACTGATGATGGCGAAACTTGCGTCTGACAGACGTAACCATTAAGGATGGATCGCGGATATGACATTCACGTACCCAAGAGGTTCAACTGGACTAAAAAAAGTTTCGAACCAATCGTGAATCGTGCAAATATAATTTGGCCGTTCCCGGGCCGTTTGACTTCATGTGAGGTGGTGGACGAGAAAATTTAGGTAAAATGTTCCGTTTCGCTTGTTTTTACTTAAGGAAAAGATATCAACTTTTGAGGCCGAGAGAAAAATAGAAAGTACAAGTCAATAAAATCTATTAAATAATTTAAGAGACAAACAATGTATGAAATTCGTAAGGTTTAATAATATTTTTAGGCTAAATTCTTTCCTGTTCCTCGCTGCTTGCAGATCATTAGACATCCAGTGAAGATCGGAAGTGAAACGCACCTATCGTACGAGGATCACCATGAACTTTAGACAAGGCTTCACATCTTTTGTTGTGTATTTTTTCCTAAAAAATCCCTGACAGTTTAGAAGATGCTAGAGCGGTTTACGAAAAGGCAGTGAAAGTCGACAAAAGGACAACCGCCTCGCAATTAAGGACTGTCAGTGATTTGTCACATCTGAGACGGCATGAATAAATCCAATCCAGCTCGACTATAAAACGTCAAATCCGTGAAAAAAACTTCCTGGAGATATAGAGTAAATACTGTTTCATTCGCCTTTATTCAGTACAGATTGTCATTATAGACGTAAGTTGTACATATTGTTGAAAGGACAGACAAAAGAGTCTCGCCTACAAAGGTAGGGAGGTATTTCTAGGATATCTCTTCCTTTCAAGGCAATCGGATATTTTTAAATTTTGACCCTGTGAGAATAATCGTTTTCCTAGATTCTACTTCTTTTATAAGTTGTGTGAGATGAATTATGGCAGGGAAGGAAGTCCGAATCGCATAAATATAGCTTAATAATCTTTAGTTTTTAATTACAGGTTGATAGAAACAAGGGCGACCAGTCCAATAGAGACAAATATTCTACTTTATACAAATATGTAACAGTATTTTTTTATTTTCAGTTTCAGTTAAGTACCGGAGGCTGAACTCGACGGATATCCAAGTGTTCCTGAGCCGTAGTAACGACCCGTTCGGCGCTTCGGCGGAACTGAAGGACGTGGGTCAGGCACGGTAAGAAAGATCAATCAATTTACAGTTCCTGAGGTAAGCACCTGTTGGCGCGAGATTAATGAACTGGCAAGTGCGGCCTGTCACGCAAATTGATACGTGATTTAGAAAAATGGACGATTTTTTCACGTATTTTCATTTAAAGTGGGATTTTCTTAAAATCTGATGAACCGTAATGTTCTACTATGATTTCCGCCATTGAATCGAAATTCCTGGATTTTAGAATATTAATTTTCCACCTTAAAGATTATTGGATAATAATGATACATTTTGTTTAAAATTATTATTGCATTGAACCTCCATTTTGTCTACGGTACTACAATGCGCTGAGTAGAGTAATTCAACAACCCGCGAGTGAAGGCGTACCGAAAAAGTCCAGTATGCTTATGCCTTCAGCATGAGTTCACTGACTCGCAGACCAAAACCCATCTATTCTAAGTTTCATCTATTTTATTCTGTTAGCGAAAAATATTTAAAAACTTAAAACTAGATGTAGGATATAGGGGAAAATTCTTAAATAAAAATTAAATAAAACAAAGAAATTAATAAGAAGATTAAGCGACTAAAGTTAAGTCAATAAAATTTAGTTTTTCTCCTTCAAAAGCCTTTACAACTTTTGACCAATTTCATTCACTCAAATCCGAATGTTCGCTTAATAAAGTCTAGTTTCTGGGAAAAAAAAATGCATTGCAATTAATTAAAGTTTTTAGTTGAGACAAAAATGTCAGTGTCACAAGAGGGATTCGAACCCACGATCTTCGGCTAGATACCGCTGCTCTACCACTTCAGCTATCGTGACTTCGATCCACTCGGACACTAACTTCCCATCTCAACCCCACCTTTGATTTGAGTTTTCCCTCCTTTTTGCCATTTTTCAAATGTCGTGTAATCTATTTGATTCTCGGCGACAAATGAAATGGCCACGGAGAGCTTTAGTGAAGATATACTTTATTTAACTTATTAAATTTCCTAGTTTTCGTGGTCCGCTTGACCAATTAATATCATTCAATTAATTAAGGCTTTTAGTTGAGATAAAAAAGTCAGTGTCACGAGCGCGATTCGAACCCACGACCTTCGGCTAGATACACCGCTGCTCTACCACTTGAGCTATCGTGACTTCGATCTAAAAACCTTAATTAATTGAAAGATATTAATTGGTCAAGCGGACCACGAAAACTAGGGAATTGTGCATTGCATTTGAAAAACAAAGAGTTTACGTAAAGAGCGTAATAAGTACTTAAAACATCTAATATGACGTTGATGGATCGCAGATATTTGTTTGTGTGCATTCATTCGTTTGTTAGTTCTTCATTTGTGGGTATTTTGTTTGTTAATTTGTTTGCTTGCATACGCAAGTTTGTTTGTTTTTCATCATTAGGCCGTTCATATAGTTGTTTGCATATGTAAGTGTATATGGGGAGGGTAAGAGGGGGAGAGTTGGAGAAAGAAAAGAGTGAGAGTGAGAGAGAGAGAGAGAGAGAGAGAGAGAGAGATAAAAGTGAGAGAGGGAAAGAAAAACAAGAGAAAGAGATATAAAAAGTAATAGAGAGAGGGAGAGAAAAAACAAGAGAAAGAAAAAATTGAGAGAGGGAGAGAGAGACGAGCGAGAAAGATGGATAGATAGATAGATAGATAGAGAGAGAGATAAAAGTGAGAGAGGGAGAGAAGATAAAGAGAAAAAGATATAAAAAGTAATAGAGAGAGAGAGAGAGAGAGAGAAATCAAGAGAAAGAAATACAAAAATTGATAGAGGGGGACGAGCGAGAGAGAGAGAGAGAGAGTGAGTGACAAGTGAGAGAGGGAGAGAGACGGACGAGAAAGAATGAAGAGGAGCGAGAAAAAAAATAAGTGAGAGGGGGAGAGAAAAAGATATAAAAAGTGAGAGTGAGAGAAAGAAAGAAGAGGAAGAGAAAGAAAGAAGAGCAAGGAGTGTAATATAAAAAGTAAGAGGGAGAGGGAGAGAAGAGCACGAGAAAGAGATATAAAATGTGTATGAGAGGTTAAACAATCACTATTAAAGTATGTACTAATTAAAGAAAATGTTTAAAGACGCGAGGGTTTAAGGGCTTAAAAAATTTTCCAACCGCAATGATAGCAGTTGCAAATAGCAAATCCTACACCCGATTTTTTTATTGACTTGAGAAATTTTACATTTGCCTTGATAACGGTCAAAAACCATGAAACCTGAAAGAATGATTCTTACAGTTCAAGTTTTTATCAAAGGGCATGAATATGTTTTGTATTGGTTGGTAATTTTTTTCAAGCGGTGTATCTATTTTCTACCGACGATTTTATAATCGTCCTGTCGTGCGGCGCTTAATTTTTTTCCTCTGCCAAGACAGTTTCCACGGTTGAAACGTCGTCGAGATGAAAGCGTGTCAATACTCGAGAGTGTACGGACAAAAATAAATCTAATCGCACGAATTTCGACTCACAGGTTCAACATAGCACTTAAAACACTCGTCTCTTCTTGGAAAACGGAAACTCGACACAACGAATGGGAACTTCCGACCGAACAAACATGATGAATCGTAAAATTCAATTTTTATAGATATTTTGACGATATGAAAAAGATAGTACGATAAAAAAAATCTTATATTAACGGACTTAACGCCTTGGGTCATTTGTGATGTGATCAGATAAAAGAATCTCACTATTTTCTAAATTTTAACTTATCTTAAATATCTGTAAAATGAAACAATAGAGTAATAATCATTGGCTAACGGTCACTAAACACCAAACATTTCTAAACAATAGAGTATTGTTCGATGTAAAATTCCCTTTATATTCAAATTCAAATTTCAGAGTTTCCAACTCTTCTAGGGTGTTAGAAAGTGGGTTTCACCGTCGTACTTGTCGCTTAAGTTGGTCCCAAATGTATTTGACTGGGTTCAAATTTGGACTGCGAGCTAGATATATCAAGCACTCAATTCCAACCTCATTAAGATAGTCATCCACAATACATGCTCTATTGGGCCTGGCATTGTCCTGCATTAGTATGAAACTTTAACCAATGTGGGGCAAATGGAACTTCATGTCCTTTAGTTATGTGTTATAAGTACCTCTTTATTTATTTATTTATTTTACGAGGGTTCGCAACAGCAGAGGTCATATAAACCCTCAGGGTGCCGGTGTTTTTGAAAAAAAAGCCCATTTGTAAGTATGTCGGGTTGGAATGCAGGGCCGCTGGATTCGAACCCGGGACCGTCACCTTACAATGATGAGCGCCGTGTCAACGCCTAAACCGTTGCGGCCACCGATGCCCCCCAGTACGTCTTTAAAATTAGATATCTTCCTTGCACAACACACAATTCGGTGCGGGCCAAGAAAGTGCCACCCCAGAACATCAACGACCCACAATGTAATGCCACCGGAAGAACCACACAGCATGGGTCGTACCTTTCTCCTGGGCGTCTACATGTGAATTACGCCCATCTGAATATTTGAGACCAACTCTCTCTTATCTGTGAAGAGAACTTATCTCCAATTTTCCAACGTCCAATTCACTTGTTTGAATTGGGGTCTGGCCATTTTCTGAGCTTTTTTTTAGATGTGTTATAAGTCTTATGTTATAGATTAAAGCGATAACGTCTAGAAAGTTGATACGGTGGCTGTACTCTGTCATGGTGAAAGTTACTGTTTTACTTTACGCGTAACTTATGACCACTTGATGTACAATTGACTGCATACGCTCTGCCTGCCATTTTAAGCATCGCCACATATCAACCAAAATCATGAATTCCATACTGAACATGATTCATTAATACAATAGTTTGCCATATTTATGCTGTTCTTAAAAATATAATATAATTAAACAATAAAAATACTTTACTCATTACTGTCTGTAGTGTGTGATAATTTCTGTAGGTTAAAATGTAATTTTCATTACATTCATTCAATTTAGTGTTAGAAATAAATTGTCAACTGCATAAATTTCAATTTTTAATAAGTTCTGTGCATCATTGCCTTATCGTTAGTGGGAGTGGTAGAGAAAAAGAAGGACGATTTAGAGAGAGAGAGAGAGAGAGAGAGATGCGAGAAAATATTCAGAGAAAGGAGAGAGAGTAAGAGTGGATAAGAGAGACAGTGAGAGAGAGAGAGAGGGAAGATCAGGTGAAAAATAGATTGAGAGAGAGAGTGTGTGTGTGTGTGTGTGTGTGTGTTTACTTGTTCGTTCGTAAATTTGTTTATTTGTGCTGGTATTATAGATCTACATTTATCTCTAGGTTCAAGAAGTTCTGTATGCAGTCTTCTATACCTGGGTCCGTCTGTCTGTTTTTAATTTTTATAAGGAAGAAGAGGAAGGGGAAAAAGAGAGAGAGTGTGAACAGTAGAGGGTATATATTTATGTGTATACGTAGAAGAGAACGGGAGGGAGGGAGGGAGGGAGGGAGGGATGGAGAGAGAGAGAGAGAGAGAGAGAGAGAGAGAGAGAGAGAGAGAGAGAGAGAGTGAGTGAGAAAGAGAGGGTATAATAAAGAGAAACGGCAAGTAGCGCTAAATAGAATTTCTTTCCTGTGAATACAATTTCCTAATACATCCTTAATTTGACACAAAAATCTGGTATAAACTTGGCTGTATTTTTGATCTAATCAGTAGTCAAAACTTTGCCTACAAGTATCTCTGGAAACCGTGGAGGGCTAAAATTGAACTTCTTTGTTTTAAAAACCACCAAATTATACAAATACTTTCTAGCGAATGAAATTATCTTATCGGTACAATTATTGACCAATTGTTGAACCGAACAAATTGTATTTATATTAAATACCTATCAAATATAATAAATTAATGAACCCTTTGCAAATATTCTTATCACAACTGGCGTAATGATTAGGTTTATACTAATATTAAAAATTTAAAAGCTCTTAAAGGGTGCGCAATGCCCAGAATTTATATTATTTCATCTGCTAACGTATAAGTTTTGAACAAAACGATATCAATTTAGAGGTTGTCAGAATAGTACCGATGCATTTATTTGGGTTGTCGTTCTTTCCTGCTATTTTATGTAATTCCTTAAATTTTAACGCTTGTAGAATTAACGTTGTCAAATAGTTTCACCTAATCCACTTCTTTTTTTCTCCCCTAGGGGAAAGAGAAGTGTTGTAAACCTTTACAACGTCGTAAGCTGTGCGACAGGCTGTAACCCATTGTCTTACAAAGGCTACGGCTGCTATTGCGGCTTTTTAGGCTCCGGCTACCCCAAAGACCCGATAGACAGGTGAGACAAAAATCGTAATCTCACATTCAATAGCCAATAAGTCCCGTCCAACTGTTGCAGTTGTTGCAAAATGCACGACGCATGCTACAACGCAGCCAACTGCCCCATGTTTCTCGAATACTTCGTGCCATATTACTGGACGTGCATCAACCATAGGCCACTCTGCGGGAGGTCGTCGAATGGTAATACGCCGGCGATTTTTTTTTCTTTTCTTTTAGTATGTAAACCCTCGTTTTTGTTTTTTTTCAGGCAGGCGTTACTCTTGCGGAGAGAGGCTTTGCGAATGCGACAGGAGGCTTGCGGAATGCCTCGCGAGGTATCCTTGTCCGAGGTCCAAGGCTGTTTGCACCTCCTCCCCTTGGCGACTTCTGCAGAATTTCATCATGTTGTGATCAGTATGGTTTGCATTCTTTGCGCTTGTTTTGCGACAGCTTAACACCGTTAAGAAATTCGTTTTTATACAGTAGTATAAAGCCGAGAGACCTAAGTGGGTCAACCTTTTTTTTTAAGAATGACAATGGTTTACCAACCTTCTGAACTTGCGTGTACTTTAACGTTCTCTTAGGTCATACGGAATCATTCCATTGGCAAATTTTATATGTGATAAGCAGACTTAAAAAATATCGCAGTTTTTTCTGGTACAGTTCATTCGACTGATTTCTCTTTCTACCCTTTGTTATAAATAGAAATTTGATATAATTTTTTGAACATTGAATTACGTATTGTTTTACGTAAGGTTCGAGCTGACAAATGTGAACGAAAATAACTGATTTTTTTCTTGCCGAACGTTTGAGCTAATTAAAACCACTCTGTTTGCGCTGTGTTGATTATCTGTTTTAACAATTAGGCTTATTCGTAAACGAGGTACTGCTCGACGTACCATGAGCAAATGTTATTTTCCATTCACAGAAACTTTTGTTTCTCGACCGACTCTTCAGTGGTAGACTCGTTAAGCGGCAGAAAATTAAGAGACCGGGGATTTATTTTTGTAATTCTACCTTGCAACTGCTTTGTTCTTCGCCCGCTATGATTTTAACAGGGTAAATTTATTTGCACCCCGCTATGTTTTTATTGAGGAGTTTTTGTGAAAAATACTGAAACACGTGAATTTTTATTTTTTTTCCAGTTTCTCAGACCCAAACAGTTTTTATCTAACTCTCCAGAATAACGGGATACGGATATGAATTTAACTATTTCAAATGGCTAGGTATTTCATCAATGTACATTTTTGAAAGGTTTAGTGACGCTGAATTCAACTGTGTGATTTTCTTTAATTTGGAGCAACCATTCTCAAGTTATTTGCCAAAAACTTTTTCTGAAAACCGTTTACCAGATAAAAGAAAACTTCTCCGACTTCTTCCAATCACCAATTTATTATTTAAATTGATAGTGATTTACTTGCTCGTGATACAAAACAATTTTTTTTTCATAATAATTTCCTCGAACATTCATTAAAGGACGCCCCGGTGTATTAAAGCCCGATTCAGCCTGGTGTAAATTTCGATCCACTTTTCCTTTCCCTTCTAATATACGAGACATTTTTATGGTTTGCACAGCAAGTCGAAGAAATTTTATTGTCAAGGTTTTTAAAATGTGTTAACTTTGCATTAAAAACATTTTAATATTTTTTTTTTATTATTCTAAATCTTCAAAGATCATCAATCAATTTTTATTTATGGTTTGTTTGACAAACATTAATTTCTTTATATTGGTATTTGTGGACCAGGCTGAATCGCATTCACTCAGCTACATCCAGAACGTCCTATTAATCGAAGTTATTTGATGAAATTGTTCCGAAAATTTTACTTTCATGACAGTCTGGTTAACCTTTACATACCCCAGAGTACTTAATACTCCTCGGAGTTATAAGATGAACCCCTTCATTCACGCTAGTGAATTATGTTCACTTACTACGCCAGAGTATTCGATATTCCTTGGGGGTTATTGGAGATAAGCCCTTCATTCACGCTAATAAATTATATTCACACACTACAATTTATTCACACTACCCCAGAGCACTTGATATACCTCGTTGTAATTGTGGATAACCCCTTATATTCATACTAATAAATAAGGTTCATAACCATAGTGTTATAGATATTTCTCGGATAATTGGAGATAAGCCCGTCCATTAATGTTAATAAATTACATTCATACAATACCCCAGAGGATTCGATATTTCTCGGGGTAATAAGGGATGAGCCCCTTCATTCACGCTCATAAGTTACTTTCATACCACTACCCCAGAGTACTCGACATGACTCGGGGTTATTGGAGATGAACCCTCTTCATTCACGCTAATAAATTACATTCCCACATTTAAACCCCAGAGCACTTGATAATATCTTGGGGTAATTGGGGGTGAGCCGTTGTATTCATACTAATAAATAGGATTCATACACTACCCCAGGGTTATAAATATTTCTCAGGTAATTGGAGATAAGCCTGTCAATTCATGCTAATAAATTACATTCACACACTAAGTACTCGGCATTCCTTTATAAACTTAGGTTAAGTCCATATATGCGTCGTGCTCTAAACTCAATTTAATTCACCCACCACAGTTCATTCAATATTTCAAGTACTCAATATTCCTCAGGGATGAGCCCCTTCATTCACACTAATAAATTACATACTACCCCAGAGTACTATTCCTCGGGGTAATTTTTTTTTCAATTTACTTCTGTCATATATCTGATATTTAAATAAATCTTTACTCGTTCAATATTGACATATTGTTTATCAATTCTGTTGTCAATTTGTAAACCGTCATTTTCTTCTGTCTCTAGGTGAGAATGAACCCGTCGAGACGACTAAACAGTCTTCAGCGCAAGGTAGCAGCCTCATTAAACTTTATTATTTTACCCCTTTAATAATGTTCCAGAATACAATAACCTTGACTTTAATAACATTTTACAGAGGTTTAGCGGTCTACTGCCCCGAAATAAGACTGAGTCCTCTAATCAAGGTATTAGAAGGGGGAGCGTTATTAATTTATGACTCCCTTACAAATTATTATGATGGATCACTTTTTTTTAAGGCAAATTGTAGTTTAACTTTAATGTTTTTTCTTTTCTTTTTCCAGAATATGTAACTACTGTAAGCTATAAGAATTAGACTGATACTTCTTTCCTTGTATTGTTGAAAAGGTGAGATAATTTAAAAAAAATCCTTTTAATAAATTTCTACTTGGAAAACTTACTCCAATGTTTTCTGCAAGTGTTGCCATACATTTTGAAACTATATGTCGCTTAGTTTACAAAGTAGCAGTACAAACTGTTAAATTCATGTCTAAGCTGTTTCAACTATTCGTTAAATATTTAATGATATTCCATCTGCCTTTCTGCACATTGTAAATTGAACAAGGTAGTTAACAACATTTGTAAATTATGGCGGTACAAGAGTTGGAAGCTTATACACGTTCAAATTAGTTGGATGAAACCTGATCCTGTGCACATTTATATTGTTGTATTATACATTCTTCATTTACATTTTGTCATGTATAATTTATCAATACAGTCTATATTACGTACCTAAAAAATGAGAAATAAGCTTATCAATGATAAATTATTCATACTAAAGTTTAAATTAAGAATGCACCAATTATTTACAAAATTATTAAATTATTTCCAGAATGTGCTGCCAACAGTCAGAAACGCAAAAACAGGCAGATACCATTTTTAGCAAGAAGAGGAAAACAAATGCCAAAGTTTATAGAATATTTACTAACCTAACAAGCAATTCTTTATTCTATTTTATTATTATTTTGTATTTATACAATGTGCCATGGAAGCTGTAAAATAAATATGTTTTTGATGTTTCAATTTTTGAATTATCATCTTTTTACCATGCCGAATAGAAACATTTAAAAAAAAAAACACATATTGAAAAAATACAGGTCTAGAGGGTAGCAAAAAGGCAGACTTAACCACCGTGAACCAGCCCTCTGACATTAAATATGCAAAAAAAACATGATTAAAGGAAAGTGGTAGCATCAGTCGGCCGGACACTTTATTTTGGACCAAAGCCCACGTATGTGTCAAGCTTGCAGAAGAAAGTTTGCTTAATCTGTCCAACAAGGAATTCCTCCCAATATGAGAATTGTGCTTGAGCACAGCAGCTAGTATCTGAGCCCCCTGTTCTGATTCTTGCAAAAAACTGGGTTGTTTTATTCCATGTAGTATTGATTGATATTTTTGTCTCCTCTAGTGTGTTGAATGTGAATGTATTTATTAGTGTGAATATGAGAAGGCCGATGGCGGAATATTGAGTTCTCGATTGATACTCAATTAGGTTAATGAGAGAGAGAGAGAGAGAGAGAGAGAGAGAGAGAGAGAGTAGTGAGTGAGAGAGAGAGAGAGTGAGTGAGTAGTAAAAAGTAATTCTTGCACTACTATGCTTATAATGCTTTTGAAAACAATATTTCATTAGAAAATAAAAATGCTGTTTGTTTTTTTAAATGTTTTTATTTACTTTTATTTATTGTATTATTTGGATATTACGTATTATAACTAGTATACATCACTTTGTCCCACGCTCAATTTAAAACTATATTCCTACTCTGATGAAAATTCTGTGTGCCCATTCTGTATTTAAAACAAAAAAAAAAATGTTTAAGAAAGGCAATTAAAACTAGAATAAATACAATTTTAAAAGTGACAGACATTATTTTATTGTTTGGGAAATTGAGACTTTCTCCTTTTGTCTTCTGATAATTTGTGTCTCATCTCCTGGTTAAATTCATCTGGAAATAAACTGTGCATTTTGTCATCGCCCCGCATGCTTAATTGTTTTTTCCTTTCGTCTGGAACAAGATCGAGATAAGGATGTTTCATAAGTTTGTTATATTTTTCCTCAGATTTTTTCCTGTTGCTGTCCTGGCTATAACGTTCGTTTCTGTTTGCATCAAATATTGCCTGGGACCTCTCAACAATGCTGGTTTTCCTTTCGTCCATTTCACTTGTAAACTCTGCAGGTTTGGAGCCTAATGTTGAAAAATTTCTTTTGTTGTCTGTTTCCCTGAATGGAAAACTTCTGTTGTTCACTGAAAGCCCTGTCCGGTCAGGGTTTTTCATAATATCTGTATTCACATCTATGTTCAAATTCTTCGCCCCTTTAGTATAACTTGGTAAATTTTTATTAGCATCAGTGGTACCTACCCAACGCTCCACAGAGCTGTCTGATTCATCACTCTCGCTTGTTGAAAAAATTTCTTCTGCTTGAAAATCCTTCGTTATATCCAACTGGCTACTTTTTTTATCAAGAGGCACAGTCTCTTCAAGTTGAAAAGCAGGGCTTTTGAAATTTTTCAAAGCGAGGTTTATTTGTTGTTGAATGTCCAGACTTTGACTTCGCTTGCCTGCTTCTAATTCTGGATTGTCCATTTTTATCCTCTCTAAATCCATACTCTGGCTCCTTTTCCTACCATCAATTATTTCGTTTGAAAATTCTTTTCTATCCAAGCTTAAAGACTTTTGGAAGGCTTGATTTTTCTCCTCAATGATCTTATTAATTCTTCGTCTTTTTTCAGCTTCGACAATCTCCATGCTGGGAGTTTTTCTTATCAATGATATTTGATCTAAGCCGTTTGACTTTAAATCTTCAACATATTTTTCTATTCCTTTTTGGCGTTTTACACCACTGACCTTATCATCTTCTGATGGAAGTTCAACTAATGATTTGTTGACAGAAGATCTTGATGGCGGACTTATTTGAGTGTTTGCTTCATGAGTTTCAGTATTTTTCCTTTCTAGGCTTACATCAGGTGAATTGCTCGTTGATGGAATCGGTTCAAATTTCCCAAAATCTTTTAGTAATGAAAGCATGTTCATTGTTTCTCTCCTATTTCCTTTGCTTTGTTCAAATTTACCAGCTATTAAATTTTTTAATGGCACATTGAACTTTTTATTTCCTGTAAGAGATTTTGCCAGCATATCATTTATATCATAATCTTTTTTATTTTTCTCTTTTTTCATTTCCTCAGCTTGTATCCTCAGGACTTCAATTGGTGAAATAAAATTTTTGGGACTAAATTCTTCTGGTACTTCTAGGAAACTTTCCTTTTGTTCAACATCAGGAGAATTCATGTCATTTCCATCATTTGAATGATTCTGCGAATCATTTGTATTAAAATATTCACGTGGTTGAAATTTAGACGGTCTATTCCTTTGATCATTTTCTTCAATTGAAGAAAATGGTTTGTCAGAAGCACGACTGGATTCTGCAAATGCCAGTGGCTTCTCTTTAGACTGATTTAATGTTTGTGACAATTTGTTAGACCGTAGAGAAGAGCCTGTTGATCTCATTTGCAAACTATCATCTGATGAATCATCAGATTCATCATCATCATCTTCATTAATGGAGACTGGATGGGACGACCTTCTCTCACGTATAATTCCAAATTTAGTGGCAAATTTTTCAATTGCAGATGTGTCTGATTTTTTAGGTGATTTTTTTCCCTTGGATAAAGTTACATGTTCCAACTCGTTGAAACTGCTTCCCTGTGTGATAAATTCAGGGGGTAGATATTTATAAGAAGTCGGTGGGTCTGAATCAGAAGGACAGTTTGTAAGATCTGGTTCAACTGTTTCTGGTGATTCTCTTTTAGGCATTATCAAATCAGCAAAAGTGACTCTTTTCGATTTGGTACTTTCACTTTTAATAGATGAACTGCCTCGATATTTTGATCCCCTTTTGGGGGGATCGATCATGATAGTTTTCCTGTTGTCCTTAAAAATTTTCTGTTTGCTGCTCGCAGTCAAATTAGCATTATCATTTGATGAATCTTTCATCATGCTGAATTTTCTGTATTGTCTCAATTCAGTTTCATAATCCGAGGGTAGTGAAATGTCAGTATCTGTTTCATACTCTTTAATTTCAACTTGCTTTCCAGTTTTTTCCATCTCTTCTATGTTTTCCAGCTCAGCCAGGACAGACGCTTTTCTGATGTAGTTGTTCATTAGGACATACTGCTCAAGCAAAGGTCTCTCCATGATGTAGCCCCAGCTCGGTCTTTCTTTCTCTTTTTCAGTTTTGATTTGAGCGAAACCTTTATTCTCCTTTTTCACACTTTGAGGCATTTTATCAAATCCGTAGTATTTATCGACGGCGATCAGTTTGGCTTTAATCTGTTCTGAGTTTGGAAGAGAAAGGGATTCAGGATCATATTCTTTCGCGGAAGATTTTACTATATCCATATTGACCAGTTTTGGGTTCTCATGATCCTGTATGAGTTGATTTGCTTCTTCTGATATATCTGAAATAAACAACTCTAGTGACCATTTTTTAAAATACTTTTAACTTCTAATATACAAATAAATTTGTTTATATAGTTGAGAAAATTAGACTTGTTATAATGCATTTTTCTTGGAACGCACTTTAGCAGAAAATGACAAAATTTAACTATATCAGTTTCTTTTTAAAGCATGATTTATTTTTACCAATATTTCAAAGGTATAGTAGTTAATACTAAAGCTAAAGCTACCTTAAAAATACCTTCTTTCTGTTTTGTTTTTGTTCTGGAAGAACCAGTCAGCAATTTAGTAACATGTTTTAGAAAGCTGACCTTTTTTTTTGGGAAAGCCTTAAGATCTTCAGCCGATTCCGTTTCTTTCTTCATTGCCAAACAGTGTTCGATAAATTTTGTTTTTAATTTGAATTAAGAACCAGAAGAAAGCCTTTTTTTCTCATCTTCCTTAGTGACATGATCAGTTTTTTGCCGACTCGAACAATGGAATTTTGCCATATTTCGTGTCATGCAATAAGAACACTGACGCTATCGAAACACAAGCTGGAATAAGCTGGAATTGCAAGTATGAACTGCATTTTTTTTAAGATATAGTCCCTGTCACATGATTTTTTTTTTAATAATATGAAATATAGTTCAACATGCATCTGTTTGTTATTTTATGTTTATGTGTGAATTTAGTAGTAAATTGAATTGTAAGATTTCCTCTTTGGGTCTGTGTGGTGATTTTACTCGGCGTTTTTGTCTGTCAGACAGGTTTCACCTTCTTGCCAACTTCAGTGATGGTTTTCGTTTTTATTTTTTAATCCAAAAAAACAGCCAATATTCTACCTTGAATTAACCAAAGTGGGCCAGCAATGTTTTGAAACATTTTTCTTCAGTTTGATCATTCTGTACCGTCTCAATAAACTATCAGCAAATTGCATTTAGGCACTCAGCATAGCAGAAGAGACACCTTTTTAAGAAAGCCAGGCAAAAGCTTGATTATTAGCTGCTTACAGGGTATCAAATAAAGAGTGTTTTTATCTAGCTGAAAATGGCAAGATAGTCCTCAGGAAGCATAGTGCAAACTAATCTGTGAATATTGCAAACTTTATTAAGGGCTATTCAAAGCTTTTCAACGTATTGCGAGGTCGAGTCTCCATATTTTACTTGAAAGTTCCTACACTTGAGAAATTTTTTTATACACCCGAGAATTAAGTCCGTCCAGCCTCAGGTGTCCAGATTTAACCCTTTCCATACTCTATACTTGATAGGTTGATTAAATTAATTCAACTGCACATACAGTGATTCAAATAAATTATTTATATATAAAAAAGGCGTAATAATCACACTATTACAAAGTTGTGATATAAAAAAAATATATATTAAAATATACAATGCAATATACAGTCTTAATTACATTTAAAAAAAAGAACGATATAAAAAACTCGAAATTTAATTTCTACTGGCCGCCAAAAATAGCTGCAGCTGATATCGAGGTCTCTTGTTGCAGGTTCTTTCCATAACCGCCTCTGCCTCCGTCATAATCTTTACGATACTCGTCCCTGACCTGGAAAGAAAAAAGTTTTAATTGGTTTATTTTTTGAGAAATTATGAAGATACGAGATCTCACCTGCCCACCGCTTTTCCCCCTGCCGTACTGTCTGCCCTCTACAAAACCAGCATCCCAATCTGTCCTTACAATCCTGTCATCCAGCCTCGTACCATTTATGTACCTCATACAGTTTTCGGCATCAGCCCTTTGGTAATATCTTTGGTAATAAACAATAAGGACAAATATAAAGTAAATCTTTGTGGTGTTTGTTCAGTCATCACTGAATCTAATTGAAGCTGTTCATCTTGAACTTAAATTACAAGTAGTTTATTAATCTTCGACCGACCTGGTCTACCAACTATACTCTGAAAATAGTCATCAAAACCAACCATTGAAGATTGAGAAGTAAAAACATGTCTGACAGGCCAAAATAGCAAGAATAGGCCAATTACAATGATCGGAAACAAGCAAATTATTAACCCAGCAGACCCAAAGAGGAAATCTGACAAGATGTATCTAACTATATATTTTTTCTGACTGAAACCTACTAGTCGCAGGTGGGGGTGACGGAAGTAAAGAAGATGAACACTTATCCCTTCGGTAAGTGTAGTCCTTTTGCTTGACGTCCCCCACCAATCTGGTAAACCGGTAAAACACCCAGTGCATGAGACTGTATTTTCAGCACTGCTCAGACCTGGAGAGTAAAGATGATCCCTTAGTAGCATTTTATTAGAAAGTAGATTGTATCAATTCTTGTTTTTTTCTTGACACCCTTTTCTTTTTTAGGAAGAAGAAACTTCATGCAGCAAATAAAAGTTTAAAAAAGTATTGGGAAAATATGACCAATCAGGAAATTCGTGCTATGTTAGAATCTGTTGATTCTGATGATGATTTTGACCTCGTTAGTGAGTTAGATGAAGATGACGATGAGCAAGATGATGCTCAGAAGAATAAAACTATTTAAACAGTTAGTTACTACAAAAATTTACATTTTTTCCTTCAGTTAATAATTATTATACGTAGAAAAATATGTAATATTTTTTTTACATTCTTAACTTTGACATTTTTGTTAAATTATACATAGTTCTGTATGTGTACATCACATATTTATTCAATTAATTTTATTATTACTATTGGGTTAGTGCAAAATCAATGCATGTTTTAAAAATTTGTTTTATTTTTGCAGGTGCTTGTCATGTAAATAAACCTGTCCTCAAACCTAATTCATGGATTATAATAAATACTATATAACTGTTACCGTTTATATAAAACATTTTAGTTTGTATTGAATTTTATAAGAGAGAGTTTTAATATTCAAAAAGTTTTTAGTTGTCTATGTAATTCCTTGTTAACCCTACGTTATAATTTTAAAGCAATGGATCCTGTCCGCTGTTGAAAAACTTAAGTTACAGTGGCTAATATGAGAAAACGTGATCATTTGTGAATTGCGGAGGGTGGAGAGCATTTCGAATCAAAATTAAAAAATGTTTAATAAATTCATTCTTAGGTTTTTATTTATACTATTATTATTAATCTTTCCACCTTACCAATCCATCAACCACAGTTTTTTCCTTTCCGTTATCATTTCTCCATCTTTGAAAAGAGTAATTAAAAAAGCAATTACACCATCACTAAAACTGATATTAAATGGAGTTGGTTTTCCAAAATTTGCTGGTTTCTACATTTGAAAATACTGGTTCGGAATCACAATAGTTAGTTTTTCAATTTAAAAAATAAATAAATATTTTTCAAAGTTCTGGCTACTAAAACGCTTATTTCACCAACGTTTACAAGTATAGTATTGATCACATCTAATTGGAAATTTAATATAGTTTTTCAATGGTATCAACAGATTTGCCCAAAACCTTTTAGTTTTGGAGTTATCATTGTTTATTGGATGCAAGGTCAACAAGAGTAGCCAAATATCCTGTGACACTAAGGTCAGCACATCGAATCGTGACAACCCTTTGGGGTGAAAGTCCAATTGGTGGTTCATGTAAAAAATACATAAATAAATGTGTGGTGATTAGTGACCGTTAATTAGATTATTTGGAAATTGTGAGATGCAGCCTGGTGTGATGTAGGTTTCAGAAAAACATTTTCTTTATCGTGCCAACGTTTCAAACTTTATTGATATCATCTTCAGGGCTTAAAGTGTTTGTTTTCTGCGTAATTGTGCTATTCTTGCGTGTCGTGTTGGGGACACTCTCAACTCGACAGGCAAGAATGGCACATTTATGCAGAAAATAAACACTTTGAGTGAGTAGAAATACTTTGATTGAACATAAAAAATATTTTTTGCATTGTATAAATTCACTTTTTTCCACATCCTACATGTATTTGTTAAATTTAAACAATGTTTGTAAATCCCAGGCCCTGAAGATGATCTCAATAAAGATTGAAACGTTGACACGATAAAGAAAATGTTTTTCTGAAACCTACATCACAAATACTTCGATGAATAGAAATACTATGATTGAATTTTTTTTTTTTTTGCATTGTATAAATTCACTTTTTTCCACATCCAATATGCATTTGTTAAATGTAAACAATGTTCATACCAGGCCCTGAAGATGATCTCAATAAAGATTGAAACGTTGGCACGATAAAGAAAATGTTTTTCTAAAAGCTACGTCCCAAATACTTTGATGAGTAGAAATACTTTGATTGAATATAAAAAATATTTATTTATATTGTATAAATTCACTTTTTTCCACATCCTAAATGTATTTGTTATATGTAAACAATGTTTGTAAATCTCAGGCCCTGAAGATGATCTCAATAAAGATTGAAACGTTGGCACAATAAAGAAAATGTTTTTCTGAAACCTACGTCACAAATACTTTGATTCAATGTAAAAATTAATTTTTTTTTTTTGCATTGTATAAATTCAATTTTTGCCACATCCTACATGTATTTGTTAAATTTAAACAATGTTTGTAAATCCTAGGTCCTGAAGATGATCTCAATAAAGATCGAAACATTGGCACGATAAAAAAAATGTTTTTCTGAAACCTACGCCACACCAGACTGTATCTCACGATTTCCGAAAAATAATTAAATAAATAAATGCAAAAATGCAAGATAAAACAAAATTGAAAACAGATTGTTTGTGCATAGTTGGAGACAAAACAGATACTTGTGGCACATTTTATGGAATACTACACAACTGTTCTAGAAAACACACTTTCAAAACTGCCAGGTGATATGCAAGTCCCACTCGCAAGAAAGAAACGATCAAATGACTCGGTTTTCCTCTCGGTAAACGCTTCGGTCAAAACATGAAAATATGCATTATTCTCGGATTATTCGGCCGTAAGTTTTAAAAGGATACTCTACGAAGCAGAATCCACAGGGTGTCTTTTTATACTTGTCCAACCCCATGATGATCCTCTTGATGTCACCGCATTTCGAGAATAGTTCGTAGATCTGCTCCTCGGTCGTATAGAAAGAAAGGTTGCCGACGTATATGGTCGAAGAGAGAAGTAAAAGCTTCTCTTGCTCTGATCTGCTGCCCTGAAACTTAATCAAATTAAACCGATGGAATTGCCCGATATGTTCGGATGTGATACCTTAAAATGCTGGTCTCTGTAAGTGCTCAACGATACGGATGGTGAGACCTGGCCGGACATCTCGACACGCCGATTGTTGTATTAATTTCACTGAAAAGCCGACTCGCCGCTATTAAACTAATAAATGTGAAACGTTGCTTGAAAGTCCTGTGCCGACGAGTCGTGTGGGTGAGGTTGCAAAGTATACAAATAAACAAAGCAACGTTCACGGCAAACGATACATGTGACTTTTGTTTGTTTGCTTCTTGTTTTTTTTTCTTGTTTTTTTAATCAATCAAAAAAAATAACAATGGCTAACAATATTTTTAGAAAAATACATAAAATAATAAATTATTTATTTACGAATCTAATTAAAAAATCCAATTTCTATAAAAGTTACAAGCCTTCCGTTCATGTCACCACTGTTCATACAGACATCACACTTGCCCAAAAGCATGCATTAAAGAAATCTCAAGTATGTTTCATTTTTACTATATTTTTTATATATTATTATCAAAAAATATATCCGATTTACTATATAAATTAAAAAAATAGATTAAGGGGCGTCGGTGGCCGCTGTGATAGGGCGGTCGTCACTAAGGTATAGGTCCTGTGTTCGAATCCACGTCCTGGCTTTATAAACTGCTCCACAAAAAAATGGTGCACTATGAAATTTTATTATTTAATTTGAACATTTTTTGACCATATTTTTAGTTTTAAAATGATTTAATAATTATAATTAGACGGAAAGTAGGTGTTTTTGTTGCCGTTAGCGAGGCAAAACTGTTTAATTCATAATTTGATTTAAAATCTCCAATCAACAAAGGCACTTAATCCTTTAAAAATTCTGTTATTCACGATTGTGTTGGTGGTACAAAATAAAAGGATTACAGAAATGCTGAGTGGTTAGCGTGATAGTCTTTCGGCTCGTAGATCAGGCTTGGGTTCAATTTCCACCATCGCCTCTAGCCCTTTTTTCACCTTTTCCCTGACCCCACAATACGCATAAGCATAATAACATTGTCTGGTTTGTCTAATATACATAGTTCATAAGACAATAAAAAAATAATTTAAAAAAATGCCCATTATGAACTAGCAAGTTGCCCATTGCACTCGTTGAGGATAGAAAAAATCACCATTTTGCTACAAGAGTTTTAGATTTGCTTACGACTGTTGTCGGACATTCAGTGGTACCAGGAGATTGCAAGGTGTACTGGTAGACCAGGATCGGGTCCCAAGAGCCAAGGGACCAGATTATGATTGATTTATCCAATTTCAAACTCTGAGACATCGCTTTTCCATTGCTTCTGAAACGTTTCAAAGACTTTGAACTGTGTGGGATGTGCCCATTAGTGCTAAAGCAGTAGAAGGAGACTTGCAGCAATGATTCTACATCCCAGAAGGCCAGCAATGATCCAGCACTTAATAGACTATTGTTAGGACCGCATAGAGTTTGCAAGGGACACCGGCATTGGATGGGATCAGTAATGTAGGAATGTTATGTTTTAAGATGAGTTCCAGTTTTCTCTCCATTCACCAGATGTGAGTTTTTCGAGCAGCTGTAGAGCTCTAGGGAATGCAGCATTGCCGGAAGAGGGTCGTTCATAGGAGGTTTATGTAGGTGGTTCAGTTATGATGTGGAGTGGAATTTCTTTGGAAGCAAAAATAGTTACACATTTTTAACAGTCCGTCACTTAATGCAGAAATCTATGTGGCAGAAATTCTTGACGAATATGTCGTGCCATTTGCTCCATTTATTGGCGAGCAATTTTAGTTTATGCAAGATAATGCAAGACCAATTGTTACCACCAGTGTTATGCAGTACTTTTGAGATGTCAACATTTACATCTCAACACACCCAGCCCATATTCGTAATTTGAGCCCCATTGAATACTTTTGGGACCAACTCGGACGTTGGGTAAAACAAAAAATAACCCTCCGACAGCCTTAGCTGAGCTGAAAGTTATGTCAGTTGAGATTTGGGATGAAATTCCTCAAGAAGAGGTGAAAAGCTTAATTATGAGCATTCTGAGAAATTTAGAGTGTGTAATAAAAGCAAGAGGAGATAATACATATACAAATGATGTTTTATGTTTATATACAAAAGTGATTTTATTTTTTAAATTTTTAATTTAATTTAATTTATTTTTATTTATTTATTTTATTTATTTATTTTTTTTTTAAGAGAGAGAGAGATTTCCCACTAACAAAATGTTTTAGTAAATATCTGAATTACAAAAAAAAATCAGTATTAATAGTACTGAAAAAGCAAGTACATAAAAAATATCAAAATTTTAAAATGTGCCACTTTTTTGTAGAGCCATGTGTAATATATTTTAATTTTATTCTTACAAACTTTTTCTACAAAAATTTTTTCGTTTCCTGTTACTTACTGAAACACATAATCCACATTTTGAACTTTTCTCAACTCATCCTGTTTTCCTTCAGCCAGGAAGGAAGCCCTAATAATTTTATTTTAAGATTTAATATTTATTCATTTTATTAATTCATGTGTGTATAGTAGTCATCATTGACAGTATTAATTATTTTAATTAATTGTACTTTGTATCTCAACAAAGACCTTTGACAAAAAGTGTAATTAATTCAAATTGTTTATTTATTTTTTGTTTTGTATTATATATTTTGTTATTGTTATTAAATTATATTATACATATTTATTTGTGTTTAAAAAGTTTAAAGCTTTTCCAACTTTTTGTTGAATGTTCCCTAGGACAACTGACAAGTCCCCATCTATTTCTTATGAGGTATGACAGTTGGAAAGAAATATGTGGTAGTCTTTCACCAAATTACATACATAAGATTTTCACACATGAGATATTGATGAGTTTTTTGTTACGTTACCCACTTTTAAGTTATATTTTTTAACTTATTGTTAGTGGTATTACAGCATTTGTTTTCCCACTGATCTTTAATTTTATTTCTAACAAATCGTTTCAGATCTATGAATTCTAATTGATAAACTTCATTTCCAATTGAATTTAACATTAATTTGCTGCAATATCGTTTTTGTTTCCCTTTATTCCCACATGGCCGGGATCCAGCAAAGGGTTAATGTTATTATCTTACTACTCTAGCATGAAACTATTCATATATTTTTTGTAAGTACATATATGTTTTCGAGTATGGGTCTTGTAAACCTTCTAGGGCCACTAGAAGTATGGGTGGGTCTTGTAAATCTTGTTGTACTGCTAGACTATCAGAAAAAATTAGAACTTTTTCATGTTCCAGGCAGTAGAAAGGTAACACAAAGCTAGCACTATAGTACATTATAAATGCTGCATTAGGGCCTGATAGAATCCAAGAAACCTAAACCCACCCTAGCTAGTAGATAGACTACCTCCCTCTATTTATTTAAATAAATATCCTTATTTATTGGCTTTCATGCTTATATCCACTGTTCAATGTGGCCTCTGAAAATTTCATAGATGTGAAACAGCCCTTCACAAAATCTCATGTTTGTGCCTAGGCTGATTTATATAAGCTCAAATCCACACATGCTTATATACTCATGTACATAGTTGAGCCTATCACAAAAATTGCTTCAAAATTAATTAATATGTGAAATTAATAATCAGCGGGGCCTCCTTTATTTTTGAGTACTTCATGATGTTAGTTTTTCATTTTTTTAGTTACACCAGAACCGAGAGTTTTCCAATTTACAAAGTGTTCCTTCCTTTGCAGCATTCATGACCATGGATAACCCACTTTTTTTCCAATGAGAATTCCAGACTCTCTTGTCAGCCAATTATAATTAGGGGCGGAGAAATTACATATTATTTATTAGCGTCAGCATTAATGTAAGCGCAATTCCTCTGCAAGAAGTTTTTATAGATAAAAATATTAGCTTATAGGTAAAAAAAAAGTTCAAATCTAATATTTTTGGCATGTATATAAAATATAAAAATAAAAATAAAGATACTTGAAAAAAGTTATTCAGATATCGTGAGATGCGGTCTCACGATATCTGAATAACTATCGATTAACGGTCACTAATCTCTACACATACTTGAAAAACTTGTTCTTTACACAGAACAAAAAAAAATAAAAATAAGAAAAACAACTGTGACAAAAAGATTTATTTTTGAAACATAATAATATAAAATACAAAAAAAACTCTTTGGTATTGGCACTAATATGATATCCCCCATTGCAATTATCCATAACAAATATTTCAATTTCACATGGGTTGTGATGCAGGCCAATTGTTTATACAAACATAGAATATCTTAAGTTGAAGGGAAATATGTACATTAAAATTTACAAACAAAAAGGAAAAAATATATAAGAACTTATATAAAACTTATACACACATATGATTTATCTCTGATAGTATGCTCTTTATTGTTTTCTAATATTGCTACGATGTAAACTCAAAAAGTGCAAAATGAAAATAATTCAACACAGATTAAAAATACAGAACAAGTATCTTCGGGTTGAATTTTAATTTTAATAACTTATTTTCAACAAGTATAAATATTAACAAATGCATGGCACTTAAATAAATAGAAAAATTACAACTCGCATACTTTTCATTAAAAAGTATTATTTTTCACTCTCAAAGTATCATTAAAAAAACCTTGTTTTTAACATATATTTTTCTCTTTCGTACAGAGAAAGTAGATTTAGATAATTGGGCATCCCCTGTGTTTTTTTCTCGGATGTTTTATACATGCTCTGACTGCCTCAGTGAAAATCTCCGACAGGCCTTCTACCTTCAACGCCGAGCATTCCATGTATTTGAAAGCTTTGATTTTTTTCTTCATCTTTTTACCATCAGCGGGCATCAAAGCATCTTCGTTCGTCTCCCTCAAATCAATTTTTGTTGCTAAAACGTAAAACAATATTGTTTAATGTGAAATTGGAGAAAAATGATTAAAATCCTTACCAACAATGATTATAGGCACATTGGGGCAAAATTGTTTCAACTCGGGGTACCATTTACTGTAAATGTTATCATAAGAGGCCCTAGTACCAACGGAGAAACACAGCAAGAAACAGTCAGTCTAAAAAAAAATTACAAATAATTTTGAAATGAAAAATAAATTTTATTTTGGAACTTAGTCTTTTTAAATAATTAATTATAATTACAATGTACGTACAAGGATTCAAGCCTGATAAGGCTGTACAAAAATACATAAAAATTAAAATCTAAAATAAAATTTAAAAGAAATGTTAAGAATCTTCAGTGCTCAGAGGACTTAAACATGGAAAGGGATAGGCTTGGCAAATAGAGTGAGGAAGGGAATTACCTTAGGTTGGAGGTACAGATGGTATACAGTTAAACACAATATATCTTTGCTTTGGAGATAGAGGTTAGAACAGCTGGTATGAGTTTGACAAGAATGTACAGAGGATCTAAAAGTGAGGAGATCATAAATGTTGGGAGAGTAATGGGAATATATTATCTTATAGAGGAAGGAGCCAAGGAAATATTGGCTGCAGTAGAAAGGGTAGAACCGCTACTTGGTATACAGGGACTTAGGTAGCCGAAGATAAAATGTAAAAAACAATTCATTAGACTTTCAAGCTTTTCAAGCTCCCAGTGTATCAAAGAACTGTAGAATAAGGGAGGAAATTTGGAGTATACATGTATTAAATGTGAGAAGGTGGCTGGGATTGACTGATAAAAGGTGGAAAAGCAGCAGCAGAAAATCAGGGAAATATAGGGTTTAATTATTTAAAAAAAAATCCTAGGCGTGAATAACAATAATTACATTTGGGTATGTAAGTGGTCGCAGTCTTTCATAGTCTTCTTGTCCAGCAGTGTCCCAGAGTGTCGTATCATATTCTTGCCCATCCACTGTCATACTAGTCGCATAGTTATCAAATCTGGAAGAAAAATAGAATTAGCACAATGAATCAATGTGGTGCTAAATAAATAAAAGTGTGCTTACACTGTAGGCACGTATTCTGTTGGGAAACGTTGGGTGGTGTATGTGATGAGAAGGCATGTTTTTCCTACCATGCCATCACCTACTGCAGTGATCTTAAGGGGTAGTTTATTCGTTATCTCCACTTTGTCTTTCACCTGAAAAAGCAAAATGAAATGTGTATGTGTATATGTATGCTTATTTATATTAATATATTAAAAAACGCCCCTAATTATAAATAAGTAAACAAATAAACGAAGTGAAGAAATTTGGGAGAAATGATTTGTAGAAATTTCCAATCCTGTACAATCTTTTATTTCAGATTTTGTACTTTTGCAAAATCATATATGAAATTGTTAGCCTTTTTTTCCTTTAATTTAAGCATGGTTAGATTGAATTTATGGCAGAAGGTTAATTTATTAAACATGATATTCAAGAAATATTAATTCCCTCTCATGAATTTGAGGAAGAAAGGAAGATCCCCACTACGAGCAGAACGCTCCCACCATTACAAATGCCACTTTTATTTAAATTACTCAATCAAAGGAGGAAATCTCATGATATGTATATTATCCAGTATTATTTTTTTATTGATCTATTATTATTACTCTATTATTTTGTATGTGTGTCATTTAATCCATGAAGTAAGGCCGTTTGAGGTCACAAATGGTTCTAATTCTGAAAAGAGCCCGCATTTTGGACCTGATATTGCCTACTAGTTGCTTTCCAGGATCACCAACTCTTTATGACCAATGAATTCGGCCTATTCGATGCCTAAATATTAATGATTTTCAAATCTAAATTTAAATGATTATAAGTACAGTTCTGATACAATTTACAAAACTAAAATTACCCCATTCTGCTCATGAAATATAAGTATAACTCCAAAATATATATTATTTGATTTTTTTTACAATAGAACGAAAAGTGAAAACTAGGCTAAAGACAAAATAATTCTGCAATCAACCGGATGTGTTATTTAGATCGTTAAGTAAGGCGTTTGAGGTTTAAAAAGCCAACCTTTTTTTCCCACCAATGGCACACATGTCACCAATACCATGCTGTACAAGCGGAACTCCTTTTTCCTTTGGGAGGGTACAAGTCGTGGGATTCGGTTTAATACAGAAGCCGATAGCGTTGTAAAAATAAATAACAATAGTGACAAAACACAGCATTTCAGAATAATCTAATGTAACGGAAGTTGTACAGGAAATGCGTCGGCGAGTGGAGATTGAATAATAATAATAATTAAAAATAAAAATTTACTCCTGCTATCAATTCCAATTATTTCGACAGAACTGGAATAAATTTAATTGACTCGGTTACATTGGAGTCAATTGGATTATACGAGACAGGCGCGTGAAGGAGGCAATAAGAACGAGAAAGGTCCGATCAAACTCAGAATCAAATTGAGTGTTTTCCTTGTTTTTTAAGTTGGAAAGTGTCAAGGACTAAAAACAACATCCATTCCAGTTATGAGATCACCGTTCGCCGGGAGCATATGGCTCTATTTGCGTAACGGTCCGTGCCTATTGTTCTAAAAAGGGGGAAAAATTAACTTAATTTAAACTTTCAATGTGGGAAAATGGTATGGAAACTACGTATTTTGAAATTTTCAGGATTTGTTTATTAATAATTAAACTTGAAATTTACGATTCACTGCCAGACAGTTAAGAACAAAAAGCATGGCGTGTTTGAATGTTGGATGCCAATGACTGCTTAAAACTAAATGCGTTTCTGACAAAAGCTTGATTTTTATTTTTTCTCCGGTCAATTTCTTGTTTTGCGTGGGTGGAAAACCATGGTCACGACTTTGCAACATTCCGTTTCATTTAATACATTTTTAAATACACCCAATATACAACTGATGAGAAATTGTTTAAAGGAATTTAAGCTAGGATTTATTTTTTTAAATATACTTTTGTCTTTCTACAATCCCCTTGTTCTCCGTTGTAAAGACATATTTACCCATTTATGCAAACTTTGGTGTCAGTCTCCTCCCTTCATAGGTGATATAAAAAGCGAGAATCGACGGGTCAGGAAGACCAGGGCGGAATCTCTTTTATTTATTTAGTAGAAGAGATAAAATGATCCAAGAAGAATGGCATACGAATGTGTTAACCAATTTTTACAAACTTTGGTGCTAGTCTCTCTCGCTACTTAGGTGACATAAAAAGCGAAAAACGGCGGGACAGGAAGTCCTGGGCTGCATTTCTTTAGAAAATAGATAAAATGCTCCAAGAAGAATGGCATACGAATGGGTTAACCAATTTGTACAAACTTTGGTGCTTGTCTCTCTCGCTACTTAGATGACATAAAAAGCGAAAAACGGCGGGACAGGAAGGCCAGAGCTGAATTTCTTTAGAAAAGAGATAAAATGCTCCAAGAAGAATGTGTTAACCAATTCGTACAAACTTTGGTGCTAGTCTCTCTCGCTACTTAGGTGACATAAAAAGCGAAAAACGGCGGGACAGGAAGTCCAGAGCTGAATTTCTTTAGAAAAGAGATAAAATGCTCCAAGAAGAATGGCATACGAATGTTTAACTAATTTTTACAAACTTTGGTGCTAAGCTCCCTCGCTACTTAGGTGACATAAAGAGCGAAAAACGACGGGACAGGAAGACCATGGCTGAATTTCTTTAGAAAACAAAATGCTCCAAGAAGAATGGTATACAAATGTGTTAACCAATTTTTACAAACTTTGGTGCTAAGCTCCCTCGCTACTTAGGTGACATAAAGAGCGAAAAACGACGGGACAGGAAGTTCAGGGCTGAATTTCTTTAGAAAAGAAAATGCTCCAAGAAGAATGGTATACGAATATGTTAACCAATTTGTACAAACTTTGGTGCTAGTCTCTCTCGCTACTTCGGTGGCATAAAAAGCGAAAAACGACGGGACAGGAAGACCAGGGCTGAATTTCTTTAGAAAAGAGATAAAATCCTCCAAGAAGGATGGCGTACGAATTTGTTTACTATTTGTACAAACGTTGGTTTGGTACCAATATTCTCGCTAATTTAGAGACAAATCAACGAAAAATGAAAAATAATACGAATTAAGAGTAAAACAAGAACTGATGGACCAGGAAAATTAGGTTTCGTTATGCAAAAGTGACAAAATGCACCTAGGAGAATAGCATAAGAAATTTCTTTGCCCATTCGTGCAAACTTTGGTACCTCGCTACTTATATGACAAGGATATGATACGTAATACAAATGAAGAATAAAAAAGCTAAAATTGACGGACCAGCGAGGGGGCGAAAGACAAAATGTTCTTAGGATAATGACATAAGAATGTTTTTACCCATTTATATAAACGTTGGTGCCATTTAAAAAAATATTTTTGTTCTTCTACAACCTCTTTAATCTCTGTCGTAAAGACTGTAAGCTGTCCAAAGAGAACCAGGTCGTCTTTTGTTTGCACTTTGGGACAAAACGGATCTTAAGAACTTTCATAATAATGCCTGAGAATCCCTGTTTAATCGAGGCGAACGATCCTACCAGAGCGAACAATTCTTTCAAAATCGATCATAGTTCAGCAAAAAACCATTCTACAAAAATTAATTAGTCCTGTATTTTTTAATTGCAGATGAGTTTGTCGAAACAAGTTGCCTGGCTTACACATTTAATGCTTTGCTATCGTCTTAAATTAAAGGAAAAAGCGTATGGAATTAAAACTAAGTCTATGCTAATTGCTCTGTAATTAACATTGTGCGAGTGGATAGTAAGAAATCTGAACTAGCAGATCGGAATTATTAAGGTGTACCTAGCTGGGGAAAACGTGGGCCGAAAACGTGGGTATTAAGCTAGATTGTAATTGTTCTTCATTAGTGTACACTTTCTGGACCGCTTGTTCTAGCTGTCAGTAAAATCTTGTTTAACGATGCTTCAGGTTTGTTGCACTGAAACCAAACTTCACATATATAGAACCTTCTTACCCTTAAAAAAATAGTGTATGTATTTCCTGTGGTGAAGCTCAACCTTTTTGGAATATGCCTCAGGACGAAATTGTCTTTTGAATACTAAGAGCCTGGATGACAATGGGTAGCGCATCGGGAATTTATGTAAATCCAGCACCCGGGCTAAATGTTGTAATTGGCCTCTTATTCTTTTCACCGATTCAGTACAATGACATCGTACAAGCTCCCGGTCGAAAATAAAAAATAAAAATTACGCAATAAAAATAAATAATATTTGTTGTTTTACAAGATGTTCCCGCCATCAAGATACACCAACTCTGGTTTGTTGTAGGGCCTAGATGATTTTTAATTGCTTTCCCTAAATAACTTATCTTGAGGGGAACTTGTTATCCTGAAGTTATCAGAAGGGTTTAATGTAATCTTTAAAAAGCAGGGGGAAACGACTTCCGAGTCTTTTGTATCAAGGCGGGTCAACTTTTCATGGAATATAATCATATCTACGAAAAAATAAAGCTAAATATGTTTTAACATTAGAAACTTTGTCAGTCTACTACTTTAAGTGAGGAAATAGAAAATCAATTAAGTTTCGAATACGTACTGATATTACAATTATCCCACCAAAAAGTAATTGCTGAAAATAAAGTATGGCTTGTATTTTTATTAATTTGCAAATAAAACTGGCTTGTACATCTGAATCTTGTATCAGATAAGCAAAATTATTTACGACACTTTATGATTAGATTGAAAAGGTAAACTTTACTCGATAATTTACGGAATATAAAAATTTGCTTACCCATTTGTACACAAACTTAACTTTCTGCCAATTGTCTCATTACTTAGGTAACAAGAAAAAGCCAAAGAAACAGTAAAAAATAATACGATTAAAGAATAAAAATGGAGAACTGTCGGGCAAGGAAGATCACAGGCAAATTCTTTATTTAAAAAAATGTTCCTGCAGGAATGGCCTAAGAAATCTATTTACTAGTTTGTATACATTGATCAAGTTTTGATAAAGTAAAAACATAAAAAGCAAGAATCAATATCAGACAAACTTGAAAGATCACGGGCAAATCTTTTAATAAAAAATAAATATAAATAAATAAACTACTCCTAGGAGAATGGCGTAAATTTTTGAACCCTTTTGTACAACTGAGATGCCTTTATCCTACTTAAGTGACAAACCCAAAAATACAGGGTGAATTGCTACTCGTGCTACAAACTTCTCCAGTAGATTCTTCACCC